CCGAATCGAGGTCTTCAGACGCAATTGTCGGCTGAATTTTGCGTGGACGTCCAACACGTCGCTTGCATTGGCTTTTGCCTTCTGCCTCGATTTTTGGCTTCTCGTCACTAGAAGAAAAGAAAAAGGAAAAAGTGATAGACAAACCAAAAATCGATAATAAAACCCAAAGCAAAAAATAAATAAACCCGTGTACGTGCTCAACACAAACGTTTAGTTAGTAGATTAACTCTGTGTGAACAAAAGTGCCTATTGATATTGTTCGACCGTCGATTAAACGAACTGAGGCAACGCTGTGACTCCCGCGAGATATACAGCGAAAGTAGACTCGTGGAGAATCTACCCCACTCTCCCACTACTCCCACACCGGGAAACGCTGTCAAGACATAAGTCAAGAAGGCCAGAGGTAGGGGAGAGCTCAGACGGCTGGCGCGATTAACACATAACAGTCAACTTCTGCCAAACCATTCTCTACTGCTCCACTGTACAAAATGAACCGTCCCTACCAATTAGCGTCCTCTTTTTCTCTTCCCACATAAACCGAGCCTCAAAGTCGTAACGGCAACAGTTATCCATATTGCCAATACAAGCGAACATGCGAGTCCCAGGAAGCAATTGAGAAGAAGAAGATTCGATCGCTGGGACAATACGTTTAATCACCTGACGTTTCGACATCCGTCGCGGATTCATCATCAGAGACATGAGTAGGAAACAGTAGCAGTTATCCACATTAACTTAAACCCCTGCGCTAAAGTGATGCAGAAATGAAAATTCTGGGGAATTACAAAAGGTCAGAGACTTTCAAGTTGATTCGAATATTTCTTATCTATCAAAAGCATGCAAGGATCACTGTAGTAAACTTTTAGAAAGCCTCGCTTATGAAAATAACCAGGCGAGACAGTAGGCAGATCAGGAAGCACCAGTAGGACCAAAATGCACCTAACCAGTAGGCCAGCTGCTTATTGAAAACTAAGAAAAAAATATGTTTTGGCTCATAGGCCAAATACAATGACGGACAAAAGACTGACAAATACGATTAAAATACCTGCTTGAGACTGCAATGTTTTCGTTGGTGACAATACGAGGTACGCTTCTTCGGCGCTGAGGCAGTATGTTCCTCTCGTCCAACTTTGTGATACTTCCACCGGGTTGTTTCTTAGGGACAAAAAGGACACCCTCCTTTCGAAGTGTATCCGTGACAAATGCATATAAGGTCTACAAAAGTATGCGGAAGATGTCGGACCTGTGAAATACACCAAATTATGCAATATAATGCCATTTTCAGGATCAACTAAATTTATCTAAGGGTACTGTGGCTACCTGACTGCCAAAAAAAGGATTCGCGGGGGCTCAAGCCTTCGCGTCGTGATAGATTTAAGCGTATCAGATTGTTTATAGTGAGACAAGAAATGCGCTGCGGATCGACCTCACTTTTTCCTTCCCACCATCCACATCAGGTCACCGAATAGCTGATCAGTCGCCTGATGTGGGATGGATGCAGTGGCCGACAGTCGGTGAACCCGTCTGCACGTACCACAG